AAATTTATTCAAGTTTTCAACTCATTTTATCCTTGATAAGTGAATCTCTCCTCTTTGCGATAAGTAGTCGAGCCACCGTTGAAGAAAGATAATTGGTTGTGGGTAAAGTTCAACCTGTCGATTCGATGCAACTTGGCGAGGTCCGAGCTGCGAAGGCAGACGATTTTGACCATTTTCGTCGGCTGGCGGAGAGCGAGGATGGATGGAATCTACAGTACGATAAACAGGGAACAAAAGTCTACTCCAAAGTCAAGGAAGGTTCTACGGTTAGGCTTATCAAGGTAAGTGGAAGTGACCAGACATTTTCGACAGTAAAAGCTAATTTGAACACCGTAACCTCGGAAGTGTTAATTTGGTGAGTTGGATCACTGAAAGGAATGGAGTTAAGCTTAACTGGAAATTACCCCATCTGTCGGTGAGACTTGCGAGAGAAAATATCGTAAAAGCTCAGTGTTGTCCCTTTTGTGGTTGCGATAGATGATAGCGGAAGTTGTCCCGGGTTAACGTGGAACGGAACACAGTAGTGTTTCGAGCTTTCTCATACTTTAGTTCGACAAGTCTCTCGGCCGGCGAAATTAATTCTCTTTGCTTTGTTCAAGTTAATATCTTTGAGATTATTACTGTTAAATAAACTTAAGCTTACGTTTTTAATGATAACCGTTAAGTATTCTTTAGTAAGATGGTCTTTGTACTGAACTAACATGTATTTTACATTAAGTTTCCATGTAGCAGTAAGGCTTGCTTTTCTCAAGCTTCGGTCGTAAAACAACCTTTTGGTAGCGAATCGATGGTCAATAAAGTTATTTATTTTCCCAGACAGTAACAGACATTGGTAATCTTAAATGTTTTTTGGCGAGGGAAAGAATTTCTGAAATCATAAAATGTCGAAATTCAACCGTTATTCCCAGTTCGTGGTTATTCTTGCTATTGAGAAACAGGCCAAACGTCATGCAGCGTTACACAATAGTATAGCTGATATGTCATTTTTATGCAGTGAGTTGCACTGTAACCTCACCGTCGAGAAAAAATATCCCTGGCGAATTGAACCATCCACGAAGCTGGCTTAACATCTGATAAGGGCCATCGAAGTTTCTTTCGTTTGAAGCACTAAATTAAAGCTTGGACTTTGTCATCGAGCAATGAACATTTCTGTTCATTTCATCTGTAAGCTAAAGCTTAAATGCTGACGTTTGGTTTTAAGCGGCTTTTCTGGCTTTGAAAATTTATCATTTTCCAATGTGTGGCTTTTTTGTCGATAGATAAAATGTATAGCTTAAGTGGAAGAGTCTGAAAGTAACAGAGTTCCAGTTTTTATCGATTGGGAGTCAATATTTATTTTATGAATTACTCAGATAGGCTTTCCATTCATAGCTTTACGATGTTTATGGGCCAGTATTCGCTGTTTAGATATTTTTATGCAAGTAAAAAACAGTTTTATTTTTATGGGTACATTTAGGGGAAAAAATTTGTAGATTTCTGATAATGGTTTTTGTTGAAACCACAAAATCATTTAAAGTGTTTACAAATTCCAATGGAACTCCACAGGCAATTTACAGTATGATAATAAGTATATTGATTTTACCAAGGTGGAGTTGATGTTGACAATTTATTAACTGTTGCTCTGTATAAACTGTTTATTTAGTGCAAAGTTGTACATTACACCCAGTGGGCCAGTTATTCCTGTTGATCAAGTTTCAAGCCTCCTCAGGAGAAAAAAAAAATACAATTATATTGAAAACACACCCTAACCTTGAAGCACTGTTTTCAGTAGTGCAAAATTAATAGCACAGTCCATATTTAATGTGCTATTTGTCTTTGCTATTATGCTGAGAAGTACAATCATGATACAGTGCCAATTTTGCCCAACGGTAACCTCAACTCCTTGCTAGCTAGAGGCTCTTGTCACATGATGGTCAGTTGATAGATAGGTAGAGACAAAGTGAGAAACTAAACAACAAGATGTAAAAGAGATGGGGCAAGTGTAAGAGAAAGAGAACCTGCATACTAAGATGCTATACTTTTGTTAGCATGAGCAGTCCTAATTTATTGACCTACAGGACAGGAAAAAAACCCAGGTCCAATTGCCCAGGACAAGTAAATTTTGCTCTGGGGCAGGTTAAAATAGAAGTTCATTGGCCCGGTGGGCAAGTGACATTAGCCTCAGTAGTCTTGTGAGCCTGAATAAAATGTCAGCTTGATTAGTGATAATATCTTGTTGGAAGCTATTTCCAAACTTAAGACTTGAAGATTAGTTAACCATTAGGTAGCTTGACAGCGTGCATTGGAATCCAGGCAAACTTTGTTCGCATTTGCCCTTTGATTTCGATACTGGCTACCAAGTTGGCAAGTAATATTTAAGGAGGGGGGCATTGGGATTTTCAGTTTTGCAGTTTGGGCTATTTTTTAGATTGGTTTTTTGGTTTTTGTGCCCTTTGACTTCAGGTTTTGGGTTTTGGTGTTCATTGCGGTTTGTGGATTTTTCGTTTTTTAGCATACTATCAGTTTTTCGGTTTTGGTAACCGATGTGGTTTTTGGTTTTTCCTATTTTGTCCTATTTGGGTTCTGGTACCTCTTCGATTTGAGCGGCAATTGATCTCAAATAGCTGTGAAACACCAAAGTTATTGAGAGGAATGCATGTCAAACTAAATGTCACGGTAGAGGATCACGCATCTCGAATGACGCCTTAGACTTTGACCTTGCATACCAGGATGATCATTTGGTCAGTTTTCAACATGCCTCCCGTGCTAGCAACGGAAGAAGCAATAATTGCTTGTGGATTGTGTTGCACTTTTTTACAAGGAGGGGAAAGGCAGCGAGAATTTTTGGAAGAAAAACATGTTTAGATGTGAAGTGAAAAGATACTAAAAGATACGAAGGCATTCACAAATACTTTGATAAAATTGGTGTTAGTGTAGTTTACTCTGTATGTCCCACAATTCACCATTGTATTGGTTTTTGATGGTTTTGTATGCTGTTTTCGGTTTTGGGCGAGTTTTCTTGTGGTTTTGCAGTTTTGCAGTTTTGGATGATTTCTTCGGTTTTGTGGTTTCTAATATACCCCAATGCCCCCTCTTTAAGTGAGGCAAGTGAAAAGTGAAATTTAAGTGGATTTCAATTTTTTTTTTTCCCTGCCCTGATGGACCGTTAGAGGTTGGTATGCAGTCAAAGTATAAATCAGCCCTTGGTTGTTTTCTTTAATTAGGTTTGCATAGGAATAACACTGTGACACTCGACGGCAATTTTTTGTGAGGCTGCACCAATGTATACATGACTTTTTACAGTGCAGCTCAGATGTAAGCGAACTTCACGTACACATATTATATGTGTGAATTTTGCATATACGTGAATATCAAGACATGCATGTATATCTCTTTGTTATGCATTGCCCCAAGTTTCTTTATATGAAGCTTTGTCGGACAAACAAAGGACATTTCTGGAATGAAAAAGTATCAGGCTTCAATGTGAAATTTGCATACTTTGAAAAACGTCTATGAAAGCCTAAATATTTCGAGTTTTCAATCGCTTCGCAAATTCATCGACAAACCACTGTTTATTAACACTTGCTTGATTTTTAGCTACTAAAATGTACATCTTCACTGTAGAACTTTTTTGCCCCAGATCTCAGATGCCTTCCTCATAGTTGATGGAAATGAGTGTACTTGTATTATGATGAAAGAGATGATTTTGTTTTTGTTAAGACACAACACTGCTTTGTTTAGGTGGTGACCAACTTTGCAGATGTGTCTCCATCACTGATGTACGACGTGCTTCACGATGCAGACTACAGGAGATGTTGGGATGATAATATGTTGGAATGCTTTGAGATATGCCAACTGGACAGATATAATGATATTGGATATTATTCTAGTAAGTCAATCTGTTTGTGCCCTGATTTGCCATGTAGCTTAGTGCCTACAGATCAAGGGGACCAGGTTCAAGTTCTGTTAGTGTTATTGTGTTCCATTCCTGGGCGAGACAATCAACTACTGCACTGACTTCCAGGTGTATTTCAACACTGGCAAGTTTGTTTGGGTTCTAGTATTCTAATATCCAGGTGGCAGGAAGCAATGGCTCAGTATTATTATATGGATTGTGTTTGTAGTCGAAATAACGGGCATTCTGATTGGCTGATTCTAGGGCATTATTCTCCTGTAATGCCCACAAGCCGATTATGGGTCTGCAAAATCAAAGCAAAAAGCCATATGATAAACAACTTATTAACCTCGAATGTTCAGTCTTTGCGGGAAAATCTCAAATGCCAGCCTTGCCGTATTGACCTTGTTATTACTCAGTCAATGAGGCAATGTCTCTGTTTGAGATTTTCCTGTTAAGACCTCACTCTCAGTTAATAAGTAGTTAATATTGTGTAGTTCCAGAAAATATCCATATACGTACCTCCCCCACAGAAAGGATTTCTTCTAAAACCCCCCACTCCTCTGGAAATTCCAATCAAGCTTCATACAGGTCTTTAAATTTTTTGATCTTATACAGTCCCTACCCCTCAGGAAATTCTAGTTCCTTCTGTGGGGGTATTATGGATATTTTCTGGAACCTGCAGATTGTCACATCTTACACTGTAATTGACACTTCATGCTATCCTCTGGTACTTGTTGTGTCTGCAACAAACAAGTTCAATTTTATTGTTGTTTTCTCTTTCAGTTAAATGTCCATCACCAATGAGAAACAGAGATTTTGTAACTCAGAGGTCATGGTACTGGGAAGATGATAACTTTATTATATTTAACCACACAGTACATCACAAGGTTAGTAGGACAAATGGTTGCACTGGCTGATTTATTTGCTTGTTATTTTTAAAAGTGAACTAGAAACCTGTACCATATGATATACAGCTGTTGTTCATGCTTTAATACATGCAAGTGATGGTACATTTACTAGTCAGAGTTGTGTCATTTTGGTATTCCTATGGTTGGCAGAAGTCTGTTGTTATCTAATGGATTCAGTGGATTAGAGGAGCAATATGGCTTAGGTTTTGAAGTGAATTGCTTCTTCTCCTGGATGGGATGCTGGTCCAAATGTTGTAGTAACACTTTGTAAAGCTGCCCAAACAATTTGCCTGCATCATTACTTTTGGTGCAGAGTGGTTACTTGTAGTAAAGTGTCTTTTCAAGAAAATAACTTAATTTAGGTAACAAATAATTTAATCCTTTTTTGTAGGTTGTAGCCAAAGTTCACAAGGCTGCTCTTGGATACCAAGCGTGGAAAGCTCTACACGCACCAAGCTATAAACCATGGATCTGGCCTGAGCAGAGTATTCTCCCAAAACTCCGCCTAGATGATGTAGAATCTGTAAGCAGTGAATCTCCCAGTGGATCAGATCAAGAACAGGAAGTGATAGGTGATGATCCCAATGGATACTCCAGTGAGGACAATTTAGATGAAATAATGCTTTGACACTGGCATTCAGTTGAAGTGTCAAAAACTTACCAGAGAAATTGCTGTAACTTTTATACAGCATTATTTTTGCTTAGCAGTGTAGATCTTAATAGAAAAATATTTGAAGTAGAACTCTATAGTTGTAAATGTGTAGCTAGCTAGAAAAACAAAACATGGTTAATGTTAAGAATTTTATGTAGGTTATAGTGATTGTTTCAGTCTAAGCCATTTCGTTATTGCAAGAATATAAGCAAGCAGGAAATTGAAGAGGTGTAGTGTTGTCAGGGATTGACCACTTTAGAGTAAGTTAACTACTTAGACTTCTTAAGTTAAAGCATTTAGTACAATGTTTGCAGTTCTGCAGGCAGTTCTGCTTGATGTATGTACAGTGTGTACAGTACTTCGATCTCAGTGATCAGTTTACACAAATAGAAAACATTCCTTACAAGTTAGATGTGCAGTTTTTCAGTCCGTAACAAAATGATGAAAATAAAACTGCTCAATAGTGGTCATTTCACATAAACCAGTGTTTCATGCAACAATAGGGAGTTAATGCAACCATGATGGCGAGTGACGTCATTAAGAAATTAATTTATATTTCACATACAAATCTTGTTATACTCTGAGTCATTCAATTAGTCTATTAGTCTTTTGGATAGCAACATTCCTGTTGCCATTGCCGTTGTGGTTTGCTTCAATTAAAAACTGCCTCAATGTAAAAGGTGGGACTACCTTGTAGAGCGTAATACAAGTAAACAGTGCTAAGTAAAAGGACCGTTCAGTTGGACAATAAACAACTAAGTGTTTCTCTGACTAAATTGGTACAAGTTGATTGTGGGAGTGAACTGAGATATTGATGATTTTCTGAGCTGAAAGGGTTACTTGTTATTACATTGTAGTTCTTAAGACTACGTGCATCACTTATGTCATCATGGCTACTTTTGTCTCAAGCCAGTGTTAATTTTAAATATACATTGCAATTTTAATTGCAAAACTGGCCATCTGTGTGAAGAGGTAATTGGTATATGCTAAATAATGTTCATCTGATTCTTTTGATAACTAAGTTATTGCATAATTGGTAAATAATGCACGAAATCTGTATATCACCTGGGAAACACTTTATGCAGTGTTTGTTTGTTTGTTTTTTTTAAGTCTGGAAATCTCAAAACCAATCTTTCAGTGTAGATTGTTAACAGAAACTAAGTTTTTGTTTGGTGAAGTCAAAAGATTTAATTGCAAGATGCGAGAAGTTCATTTGTATGTGACATTTAATAAGTAGGTGGATTCTACAGTTTTGCCATGTACTTTCATGTCATCAGTAACAGACTATTTGTTGGATGAATTCAACTTTGTTTGGAAGAAGTATAGTAAAAGTAATAAGTATTCTGTATTTATTACAGTTCTACTTGCAAACCTCTATTATCTTCTCTGTTGGGGTTTCTGTTGGTGCCAAACATTTCCTTAACAACCAGCACTATGGTCAATAACAAAACACAAAAAGATATGGTAGGTCTGATAGATTGACCGGGGAATAAGATTTTTCTGAATCATGTAGAACATATTTAAATAGTATAAACCACATTATTGGTGATTACTGATAATGGTAGCTATTTAATATTTTAATATATTTGCTAAATTTTCTATTTGAGTAAGCTCCACTGCTCTCCACAATCTTTACTTTCTGTCCCTCGAAACTATCTATAATAAAGAATGCTCTTTGCAGTTTTTGTGAATTTTAATGAGAATTTAATGCCTGTATTTAACTCTTTTAAGGCCTATTTGTAGAAACGTTATCCTTGTTAGAATGGCTACCTTTCTCCTGGGCAATCTTTTACCAAGCATTTTATATGAAAATCACTTCACTGCAGACCAGACACAAATCTTGGCAGAAGGGGCACCTCTCTAATATGGATGGTAATCCATTGCATTCAAAACACCAGTGCCGATTTTGACGCCTGGGCTGAGAGAAGGACTGAGAGTAGAGTGCATTGCCCAAGAACACAGAGTTTTAAAGACCAAGAGCTGAACAGACAAGCAAATTGTTCACCCTAGAAGACAAGCAGTCTGTCTTTCCTGGGTCCACTGACCACAATGTAAAAAGAAAATTTGCTCTGCATGGCCATGTTTCCTTGGGTGTTCATTCATTGCATGCCACAGTGTAAAAAACAGGTGCACATATTCTGAGGTCACCACAACTTACACACTGGCTAGTAAAGCAGAGTTAGTTACTGAAATGGTAAAGTTTGTTCTCAATTAAGAGCGCAGTACACCAACCATATTGTGAGAGGTGTGGTGACCTCGTGGTTAGTGCGCTCATCTCTGGATCGAGCGGTCCGGGTTCGAG